ATTAAATATAAGCAAACAAAAATAACAACAAACAAACAAAAAACCCACTGCTATGGGATGGATTCCAACTCATAGTGACCCTACAGGATAGAGTAGAACTGCCCCTTAGGGTTCCCAAAGCTGTAAATCTTTACCAAAGCAGACTGTCTCATCTCTCTTCCATGGAGCGATGGTGGGTTTGAACCACTGACCTGTTGGTTAGCAGCCAAATGCTATATAACCATTATGCCACCAGAGCACCTTGACAATAAAACACTGATGGGATGTTCCTCAATGTTTCCATATACATGTTTTCATAATAAAAAGCCAAACTTAACCTTCAAAATGAGTACTTTAGATAGAGCAATTTTTAAATAAGGAATGTATGCTTTAAAAAAATTATCTGCATTTTCTTATTTTGAAAAACATATGTCAGCAAAACAATTATAAAGCACAGAAGACTTTGTAACTTGGACAGAGAATATTCCTCTCTCAAACTGAAGCCCTTATATCTTTGTTTTCCACGTTTCAATTATTTATCATGTATAACCTTCCTCTCCGCCCCAAAAGTGTAACTAAAACATAAAAGCATGTGGCAGGCTTAAGTCAATTCACACACAGTTGAGAAAAATTCAGCATTCAATCTGAAATGATAAAACAGGCTTAGGGAATGATGCTTTGCATAGTTCCAACATTTATAAACAAATGTTACTTATGAAAATTTTGAACTTGTATGCTTAACAAGTAAACTCTGAATTCACTTTATAAATCTGTTTAGTAAATTGATGAGAAAGACCCTTCCTCGATTTTAAAAGAAAATGGATTTTTTTTCTTCCAGTTTTCTTTGCAATGCTAGATAATACTATTAGAATAGGCCACGATGGTACCTTGTCTCTCCGCCTAACACGGGCTGATATTGTTCTCTGCAGTTTACTTCCTGAGGTCAAACTGCCCAGGGGCAGAGAAACCAGAGGAGGTAGGAAAGAATCATTTGTCTCATCTATGTCAATTTCTTCTGCTACATTAAGTCGGTCTTCTGCCACATTAAGCCGTGGAACAGCAAAAACCAGCATGTGACATCCACCACAAGCAACCTGCAGCATAAATCCACAGACAAATTAATTGGCATTGGCTTCAAACACAAATGGGTTTTTGACAGTTTTCAGCTACAAAACACAACTGTTATATGAGTACTTCATAGCAGACTTTCTAGACACAAACACACTCTCTCTAAAACACAAACACACACGCACACACACCACAGGGTGGGGGTAGGGAGACAGAGAGAGAGAAACCTGAGAAAGCCAGAACCTATAAGGCAGAAACCTGTCAGAGAAAGAAAATGCAAATATTTTCCACTAAAATGAGTGAAAGAAAAGTGAGAAGACTGCACCATCAAAGGTGGAAAACTTGCAAGACCTAGAAAAACAAGGCAGATCCATCACAGGTTTCACTTTGTATGTAGATATGTATATAT